TTTGGGCTTATGTTCTTGTTAGGTCCCTTGACATTCACAATGTGCGGGATTATCCCTCTGTCTGCCCTGACTCTCTGAGGTCCGAGTGCAGCACAGCTGGCAGCAGAGGATCTCCAAGAGAAACCTATCGGAAAGACCCCTGGTCCACTCCCCTTCTTGCTGGCCTAGTAACTGGCCTCTGGAACTGTCGTCAGGGGGGTGGGTTGCCTCCTGCACCTGCCCCTGGCAGCCGCTGCCTCTTCTCCTCCTCATGCCCTGCAGGTTGGTTACGGCCAGCGAGTGCTGAGTGCCTGGACATCATCGCAGTAGCGGCCCTCACACTGCCCTGGTGTGCATGCTGGCCACTTAGGGCTACTCTAGAAACTGGCCTATGACCTTCAGTAGTGCCTGTCACAGCCACATCACAGGGTGTTGTTCTCTTCACACAGTGTTCTTTGGGAAGAACCCTAGTTTGCTATTTGACCTTTGCTTCCTGAAAAGGTGTTTTTCTTTTTTTCTCTTTCATTTTTGTTTTGTTTTTAAATGGCATGGTTGTGATGAATTGTTGACTTTCCTTTTTCTCCTTGGCTGATGGGAAGCTTAGGACCACATTTGTAGCCTAATGTAGCTAGTGTACAGGTATTTATGATTTGCATTCTTAGTCTCATTCTTTTTTTTTAAATTTTTTTTTTTGTTGTTGGACACAATACCTTTACTTTATGTTATTTATTTTTCCATGGTGCTGAGGATCGAACCCAGTGCCTCATGCATGCTAGGCAAGTGCTCTACTACTGTGCTATAACCCAGCCCCTTAGTCTCATTCTTGACTCTGGTTATATTTATTTTTAAAGTTCACAGATAGGAGCGCTCACCTGTACTTTGCTCTGTGCCATGCTCTTTATAGTTCTCATCCCCATTTTATAGAAGAGGACACAAAGTATTGGAAGGTTAAGGGACTCATCTGGGGCCATGCAGTGAGGGAGAGAGAGGGCTGGGATTTGAACCTGGACAGTATAGTGCCACACCACAAGTGTCTCTGATTAACATCTTCTTCCTTTTTTTGGTCTACTCCACTGATTTTAGGGTCTCCTCCTGTAGTTAAGTGTCTCTGTGAGCTACTAAATCCACTTTGAGATAACGCATTAATAAATACAATAAAGATCTTTGGCCTTGTGTTCTGGACCCCATTTGACAAACAAGTTGATTCTTTAAGTAAATCTGTTTTCTATATATTTAATTTATGTTTTATTGTTGCTTTTTAGACTCCTAAAATAGCCCTGTATATAGAGCTGCCTTCTGCAGTGTTTGCACTTCTACTATGCTATTTTTCATCCATCCATTCATCCATTCATCCATCCATCTATCCATCCTTTCATTCATCTCTGCATCCACCTATTTATCCATCCATCTATCCATTAATTTATCATCTCTAGCCATTCTTCCATCCTTTTGTTTATCCATACATACATATATAAATATATTTATCTATCTATCCATATATCCATCCTTTTATTTATCTATTTATCCATCATCAATCATCTATCCATCCACCCATCCATTCATACATGCATGCATACATACATACATACATATATTTATCTATCCATCCATCCACCCATCCACTCATCTATCCATCTACCCATCTATCCATCCATACACCCATCCACCCAGATCCATCCATCCATCCATCCATCTATCTATCCATCAATCCATGCACTCATCCACCCATCTATCCATGCACCCATCTATACATCCATCTATCTATCCATCCAGCCATCCACCCATCTATCATCCACCCATCTATCATCCACCCATCTATCCATCCACCCATCTATCCATCCCTCCACCCATCCATATATCCATCTATCTATCCATCCATCCATCCACATATCCACCCATCTATCCATCCACCCATCTATCCATCCACCCATCTATCTGTCCATTCACCCATCTATCCATCCACTCATTTATCCATTCATCCACTCATCTATTCACCTATCCATCCATCCATCCATTCACCCATTCACCATCTATCCATCCATCCACCCATCTATCCACCCATCCATCTATCCATTCACCCATTCACCATCCATCCATCCATCCACCCATCTATCCATCATTGGTCTACCATTCACTCATTCATTTGTTGAAGGCTTCTTAGAGCCTGATGTGAGTCAGGCTCTGGACTGTGTCTTAGTCACAGATGAGGACCTGTCCTCGGGGAGCTTCTCCATCCCCTCAGGGGAGCAAGGCAAGACCCAGGGAACGTGTGTGAGGTGCTTTCTGAGGAAGACACATAGCCGAGTAACTTACGTCTGAGGGCTGCTGTACTGTGGTGGTCCAGAATGGCCATGGGAAGCCATGTGTCAGCCCAGGCTGGAAGGAGAGGAGCCCTCTGTGTAGACACCCAGAGACCAGCTGAAGGGTCAAGAGGGAGGGTGAAGCTGAGAGGCAGGTGGGGCTGGATCAGTCACAATCTAGAAACCCTAACCAGGGGCTGCGGGGTTCTGAAAGCAGCGGGGGTTCTGGAGTGTTTTAATCTGGGGAGAGACAGAGAGAGAAGATGTTTTTAAAACTCTCTGCAGCTGCCATGAGGTTACTGGGTTGTGTGGGGGGAAGAGGGGAAGCAGATTTGAAGGCTGAAGAAGTGTCCCATCCTGGCATGTCCCTGGTTGTGTGACCCCAGAAAGGGCAACACAGGATGGCAGATGGGGCGAGGGAGGGAGTGTTTCTTTTACCTGAACCTGAGCCGGGCAGTGTTTAGAGGTCATCACTGTCATTTCCCACCAAGAGGTAGCTGACTTTCCAACATTAGAAATGCACAATTCACATAAATTCAGGATAAAAGGGGTGCACAGGGTCACAGGCCCCAGTCTGTGTGTTCCTGCTGGGTGGTGGGTGCTTCTGTTGGCTCAGTTGTCGGACGTTTCACCCAATGGTCCCTGAGTTTTCTCCCCTCGCCCTCTTAGGAATCTGCAGTCTTTTAATTCTCTAGTCCTGGGGAACATCCCTCTGTTCCAAGTGGAGACCATTCTGACGGCTCCTGAGATCATCCTTCACCCCAATACAAACGAGATTGACAAGCTGTGTGTCAACTGCGTCCGAAACTGCGTGGAGATCACCAAGGTAAGGGCCGGAGGCCGTGTTGCCCTGCAGGAGGCTCCGCTGTGGAAGGCAGGTCCCCTGGGAGGCAGAGGACGCGGGCTCTGCCTCTCTCCTGTCTCTTCCCAGCTCCTCCTCTGCAGGCCCTGGATGAACTCTATCCCATCTGCCCTGTAAGACGCACACCATTTCCCCTCATCCCTGGTGGAGACGCCTCCCAGTGGCTTTTGATTTCACTTAGAACACACTCCTCATGCCTCTGTGAGGTGGCCCTCACTGTTGGCACCTGCCACCCTTCTGATCTCAGGTCCTATCTGGGTCATCCTCCACCTCGTCCAACAGTGGCGCTGCTGAGCTGTCTCCCTCGGTCCTGCCTGACCCCACGCAGCTCCATCGCGCCTCTGCCTTGCTGCCTGCCCTTCCTCCCACTGGACACCCCCTTGCCTCCCTCGTTCTCAGCTGATTAGTCTATAGACCACCGGCCTGGAGAAGACCGGGCAAATGCAGCCCAAGGGTCTCCTTCACCTTGGATCCCCTACACTGAGAAGGGCATCTGGGTCGCAGTTGGCTCTTGGTGAAGGCCTGTTGAATGAGCGACTGTTGTGAACAGCCCAGGGGCTGTGTTTCCAACAGCCAGAGGAGGGGCTGTCTCTGTGGGCTGGGGGCCAGGGCTGACTCTTCACCTGGTTTGCTCAGCCATGCAGGGGTGTTTCAGGCGTTTTTTTTTTCTTCTTCTAATGTTTCCTTTATTTTAAAATTTAATTTTATTTATTCTAATTTGTTATATATGACTGCAGAATGCATTTCAATTCACAGTACACATATAGAGCACAATTTGTCACGTCTCTGGTTGTACACAAGTAGAGTCACACCATTCATGTCTTCTTGCATGTACTTGGGGTAATGATGTCCATCTCATTCCACCGTCTTTTCTACCTGCTCCCTTCCCCTCCATCCCCTTTTCCCTGTCTGAAGTTCCTCCATTCCTCTCATGCTTCCCACACCATCCCCATTATGGATCTGCATCCTCATATCAGAGAAAACATTCAGCATTTGTTTTTTGGGGGTTTGACTTACCTCATTTAGCATTATATTCTCCAACTCTATCCATTTACCTGCAAATGCCGTGTGATTTTATTCTCTTTTAATGCTGAGTAATATTCCATTGTGTATGTATACCACATATTCTTTATCCATTCATCTACTGAAGGGAATCTAGGTTGGCTCCACAGTTTAGCTATTGTGAATTGAGCTGCTGTAAACATTGATGTGGCTGTGTCCCTGTAGAATGCTGTTTTTAAGTCCTTTGGGTATAGACCAAGGTGTGGGATAGCTGGGTCAAATGGTAGTTCCATTACCAGTTTTTCAAGGAATCTCCATACTGCTTTCCTGATTAGCTGCACCAATTTGCAATCCCACCAGCAATGTATGAATGTGCCTTTTCCCCACATCCTCACCAACACTTAATGTTGTTTGTATTCTTAACAGCTGCCATTCTGATTTCAGTGAGATGAGATCTTAGAGTAGTTTTGATTTGCATTTCTCTAATTGCTAGAGATGTTGAACATTTTTTTAATGTATTTGTTGATTAATTGTATATCATCTTCTGAGAAGTGTCTGTCTGTTCAGTTCCTTGGCCTGTTTATTGATTGGGTTATTTGTTTTTTTTGATGTTAAGATTTTTGAGTTCTTTATATATCCTGGAGATTATTGCTCTATCTGATGTGCGTGTGGTAAAAATTTGCTCCCATCAGGCGGTTTTTTTGTTTGTTTCTTTTTTTAGGTAACTATTTCAAAAATTCTTTTTGGATATGCATTACAGTTAAGTGTATTTTCACCTATTATTATACATACGTACTTTCCATTCTTGTGGTTGTACATGATGTGGAGTTACACTGGTTTTGTATTCATATGTGACATAGGAATGTTATGTCCAGTTCATTCTACTGTCTTTCCTATTCCCATCCCCCTCCCTTTCCTTCATTCCCCTTTGTCTAATCCAGTGAATTTCTATTCCCCCACACTTATTGTAGGTTAGCATCCGCTTATCAGAGAGAACATTCAACCTTTGGTTTTTGGGGATTGACTTATTTCACTTAGCATGGTAGTCTCCACTTCCATCCATTTACTGGAAAATGCCATAATGTACTTGGGGTAATGATGTCCATCTCATCCCATCGTCTTTCCTACACCCTCCCTTACCTTCCTTCATTTTTCTGTATGGCTGAGTAATATTCTATTGTGTACATACACCACATTTTCTTTATTCATTTATCTATTGAAATGGCACCTAGGTTGGTTCCATAGCCTGGCTATTGTGAATTGAGCTGCTATAAACATTGATGTGGCTGCATCACTGTAGTATGTTGATTTTAAGTCCTTTGGGCATATGCAGAGGAGTGGGATAACTGGGTTAAATGGTGGTTCCATTCCAGATTTTCTGAAAAATCTTTATACTACTTTCCAGAGTGGCTGTACTACTTTGCAGTCCCACCAGCAATGTACCTTTTCCCCCCACATCCTCACCAATATTTGTTGTTACTTCTATTCTTGATAACTGCCATTCTGACTGGAGTGACATGAAATCTCAGTGCAGTTTTAATTTACATTTCTCTAATTGCTGGAGATGTTGAACATTTTTTTATATATTAACAGACTGATCATATTTCTCCCATGAAGTGTGTTTTAGGCATTTTTAAGAATGAAGATAACTCTACATATAATAAACGGATCATTTCATTTTACTGTGCTTGGAAATGAATGAATAAATTGCACATATTTTATAATCTGTGCTAATAATTTAGAGTAAATTCTTCTAGTTTTTTGGTGTTACATCACTGAGCCTTTAGGGGAAGAGATCCATTTCCAAGGTGTAAGTAAATCCCAGTGATGTTCTCTCAAACATTACAGCACTTAATCACTGCGTTTCCTGCCAGCTTACCTTTTCTCCTCACTAGCCCCATGTGTTACCTGGAATTCAACCTGAAGGGCTGTTGGGAGGGTCCGGGGATCACACAGGAAGCATGGCCTGACCTTGGCATGCAGGAGCACATCAGCTGCTGCCACTGGAGCTGGTGTTGCTGCTAGTCATTATGGCAGTAGAAGTGGTGGCTGCCGGGATCCTATTTTGCTGATTAGATGACTGTGTTCGGTGAAACGCACTCCTGGCTTGCTGTTATGAATCATACTTGATTAAAAGAAAAGGGAAATCTTACCTACCTGCAGTCCCAGCGTGGGGGCAGGGGGCTCTCTGAATTTGAGGCCAGCCTGGGCAACACATAGAAAGACCTTCCTTGTCTTGAAATAGAGGAACAAAACAACAGCAGGGAGATGTTGCATCAGCAGATCTGTTCCAGAACAGATCTGGATGGTCCATTTGTGTGACTGATTTGTGTTTTTTTTCTTTTTTTAAGATTTTTTTT